AGAAAGATGTGATAGATTTCTACTCAGAAATGTGGAACGGCATATGTACATTACCAAACAAAAATAAAATATAGATGTCTGACTGAACTATATTTAAGTTCACAATTTTAAGATAGAAGTGTCATGAAATTTGGTCGAATTTTAGGAACCATAAAGATATAGTTTATTATAATAAATGAAAAATAAAATTTAACGTTTCAAAGGAGTGAAGGTAAAATTAAAGGTAAGGAATTCATTATTTTCATCTGCATAAGATTTAATATCAAGAAGTCGTAAAACGGTAAATCTCAATTCCTAGGTACTAATGAAAAGACCTAAGTGTCCCCATCCACCTTGGTTGAACTCGGAAAAAGGATTAGACTAGAGTGGGTGCCAAAATTTTCTCCGCAGTAGTTTATTCCAACGGAAGAGTGGAAAGGAGCAGTGATCGACTTTCTGCAATTGAAGATAGCAGTTTCGGAATTCATGGACGTGGAACTAAATGATCAGATAGAGGAGGATGGAAATGAGAATGATTCTCTCTTCGAAGGAATGGTACTCTTCGACCCTTCCGAGTACCGAATCCAAATCCATCCGACTCGCGAAGATAGTGATGATCCCGGTCCAATTGTTTCTGATCAGCCTGACCTTCCGAATTCTGCTGCAGATGAGGTTACCACTACGGTCAGTGCTTCAGCTTCCACTTCGGCAACAACGACTGCTTCATCTTCACATCTTTCTGAACCCCTTGACGAGAACCTCTTTTCGGACCTCACGCTGGTCACTTCCATGCATAAGGACCAAACTCAAATCCAGCTAGACCAAAATTCGCTACCAATCACCGATCCTCTCCAAGCTGCCACAATTATGAAAATCCCTGGTTCGGTAGTAGGAGAAGCAGCAGATAGAGACCCAGGATTGATCGTCTCAGTCTCTCGACAGATGTCGAGAAGGAAAAGGAGAGCTGGGTTGCGAATTGGCTACGGCAGAGATGCCCATACCCCAAACCCCACTCCCGATCTTCACTCTACGCATTTCAGTAATCACATTCGTGGCGATGACGACGACCAGCATCCTGATGCTTTACCTCAGATTCAACCATCTGCTTCTCCACCACAGACTTTAGCTCCTCATGGTCCTTCAGTAGACAACAACAACATCGAATCCACTAGTTTTGTATCTCAAGAAGATCACATAACGGAACGTCAAAACCAACAAGATGCTGATCGACATAAAAAAAATAGCGTTGAGGCTGAAGTACGCGATTCACCCGAGTTCAAATTGGAGCAAGTCAGGATTCAGATCTCCGAGAAGCTGGGTCATGCTCGTAACTCGGTTGCCTCTGTGTCTACCTCCAGGAAGGAAGTTATTCAACGGAAACGCAAAATTATGGATAATCTAAAAATTTCATTAGACAGGTACTCACATCTTGAAAAGCAGTTGGAGGAAGCCTGCGAAGCCGAAGATTTTGAAACCGCAGAAAGGCTTAGCGAGAGCCTAGCTTCTGCTGAGCGAGAAAAGCAAGCCTTCCTCATGGAACTAAAAGATGCTGAAGCCTTATGTGATGCAATGGATTCCAGAATGCACGAGGTTTTGGACTTCTTGATTGCCACCGAGGAAAATTGTGATTCTCTGCTCCAAACTTTTGCTATGGTCCGTTCAAATAGGATTTCTATGCATCTTAATGTTTGACATCTCTGTATACTTGCATGTACACGTACAACTCACTCTGTCTGCATTACATAAAGAGCATAAACATAGTTCGTGCTCGTTTGTCAATTGATAAAATGTCTCACAATGATAAAAATGAAGTTATTCAATAAAATTTCAGGGGAAACGTTGATAAGTTTTCAATTTCTATAGGAATTAGGAACTAAATAAAATAAATAATCCAAAATTAATATGGCTGTATTGAAACACAACAATTTTTTCTCTGAAGATAAGCAAGAATCAAAATTCGGAAAGTCTTCTGTGTAGTTACAATTCCCAAATATCACCGCTCATTCATATTTTGGAGTGCTCTATTTTCTTTTTTTAACATAACAGTAGAGATAATTGTCAATAGACTTCCAATTTTTAATTTTCATAATATGAAAAATATTAATGTTTACCATAGAAGATAAAGTTTGTTTTTCTTGTCAATATTGATGTAGAACATTAAAATCATGGAACAGCAAATAAATGGATATTTTCGTCCATCTCACCTTCTTAACACTGGTAGTAATTGATAGAGCCGCCTATCCCAAATGATCCTTGAACCAAGCCTTTTGAAGTTTTGCTTTGATTCCGTTTGTTCCATTAACTATTTACTATTTAAACACATATAATTTAGATTACAAGAAAGCAATGTATTAATGAATTAAGATTTACAGAATACGGATAACAAGTCAAGCCTAAAATCTAAGTTAGGAAGTTACAAAAACACTCCGAAATTGACTAAAAAAAGGGTACACGTTAAATTCTTTAGTTGTGGAGCATTAGAAAGAAAAACAGCCAATTAGAGGTTGATTAAAGATTATAAGGACATGCAATACACAGCATTGTACACTTGTCATCTTCACCGATTAAGTCTGTTCCATGTGAGCGAAATGACTTCTTTATTTATTTTCCGTTTTTGCAGGATGCTGCAAATAGTGTTGTTTTAGCCTTAAATATGGCAGATTCAGAATCTGCAGAAGAATTGGAAAAGTGGCATTTGTCAAATGAAGTCTTGGAGGCCAAGAAGATGGGAATTGAAATTGAGTCACTAATTATACGTGAGTCTTGCATGGTTTTGAATGATTCCATTGAACTTTTGGTTGAGGGTGACAGAAGAGAGAAAGAAGTTCTTTGTCAAAAAAAGGCCGCGTTGACAGATGAACTGGAGAAATTACTAGCTATGGTGGAAGAGAAGAAAAGGGAGATAGAAGAAAATGACTCTGTGATTGATGCTGTTGAGAAAAGAATTTCTGATGCGATTTCTGGTTTTCAGCATGTGCAATCAAACATGGATGCAAAATATGCTGCCTTACAATCAACCCTCTCTCAGATGCAGTTAGAAAGTCAAACTCTTTCAAATAGAAGAAGGGAAATCGAGGAGTTCCTCACTCTGGAGAAAGAAAAAGGAGCGAACTTGAAGAAAATTGCTCACCTTTCCGTAGAAGATGCAGAAGCGTACAGGGAAGTTGCCAGGCTGAGAAAATTTCTGATGTCTACCATCTTGAAAACAAGGGAAGATAAAGCTACTCTGACACAAACGGAGGATGATCTTTCCAAGGATGTTCAAATGCTTCAACAAGAGTTTCATTCTGCTAGGTCTTCTCTCCAGGTTAGTTCTGTTTCCTACTTTTTCATGGCTTCCTTCTTTATTACTTCCCACGCGAAGGAAAAAGGTGAGATGGAGGAAATACTACTGATGGAACTTCCATATCTTGTGAGATTTTGAACTTCTATTTCTTGAAAAGTTTATATATCAGTATATGCTTAGGACAAATGGAATGGCCATTACTTGATTAGTAATTGTTAGGTATCCAGTTATAGAAATGAAGCAAAGGACGAAGCACTACCAGCCCAGTAAAGTTCAAGCTCTTATCCCCCATACTTCTTTTCCAAAGTTCTCTTATTTTCTCTACTACAAAATCATGTCCGGCCAAAGCGAGCATAGCTCAGCGGTTTTGGCATATATCTCCAACTAAGAGGTTATAAGTCCGATCTCCCACTCCACATGTGTACTACAAAATCATGCTTGCTGCTTATCTACCCCCTTCTTACTCATAGGTGCATTTTCTCTCCTCCAACTGACTTTCCTTATTTCTCTTTCCATTTTTAGCCTTTCTTACATGAATTTGTTTAACTGGGGTTCGAACATGTCAACAACACCTTGTCCCAATGTTGGAAAGTTGGTTTGGGATAATGTAAGGGGGCGCTCAAGAGTCTTCAAACCTGGGTAAGTCTTTCCATTTAATGAGTATTTCCCTTGCTATCCCAAGTATCAGTGTTGTATCTCCAATACTTGCTACGGATCTGTGGTGCATTCAAAATTAGAGTCCATGTTGGCACCAGTTGCAGGGTCATACTAGTACATAAGGCTTTGCTACTAAGAAACATGGAACGACATATGTACATTACCCATTGTGGATACTAGATGGGGATTAAATTATGGTGGCAATTTCAAGTAAAATCGGTCATTGGTGTTGAACCCAACTGATGTAACCCAATGGGAAGAGAGAAATATTATTTAATAATGGGCTAAGAAGAATATAACTGGGGGTATTTATAGGAAAGGGGAGGTGTGGACTTTTATCTGTAACACACGGACAGAAGGAGACTAAAGACCTTAACTAAAAGGCTAACTACTAACTAACTAGCTAATGAAAAGAATAAGCTAGGTAGTTGCATCAGTTTCCCCCCTCTATAATAAGAACTCGTCCTCGAGTTATGGAGATAAACGAAACTCATCCGGAGCTTGATAAGAGTACAAATCTGCAACATTAAAGATAGGGCTAATGTTGAAATTGGGAGGTAGTTGAATCTTATAAGTGTTGTGCTAGGCCTCCTAGAGTGAGACTTTATTCTAGAAGGGGCAAAAAAGGGATTGTACTAGGGTGAAAGACATAATGAGCTAGAGAGAGTAACGGCCTAGGGGCCAGGGAGTATGGTTGTGTAGAGGGAGTATGTGCCGTCTCAACACCATCATGGGACTATCCATGCCATGAATGATATGGCTATTAATGCACTCTCACACACTTCTTCGGTGATGTTACTTTGGCTTCTATTACGTTTTACTATGCTACATGAGGATTATCTGGTCTTATTTGGAAACTATGACTACTAATGCACTCTCACGCACTTCCTCGACAATGTTACTTTGGCTTCTATTATGCTACATGAGGGTTATCTAAATTCCATTGATCATCAAAGTGAGGCTAATGATTTTTTTTTTATCTTGATTAAGAGATCTGTGGTAGTTGTTGTCGTTTGTTTCACCATCGAGTTGGGTCATGTAAAATTTAAGGGCAATTAGTTTGTGCGGGGAGGGGGGTGTGGTAACCCTTGTAGGAGTTTCTCCCATTGTTCTTTTTTCTATATTTTGAGCTCTCCTTCCAGTCTCCCTTCGACCCCTTTGTTTGGCTCTCTTTGAAAGTTCAAAATTACAAAAAAGATTAACCCCTTGTTTGGAACCTGCGATTGGGAGGGATTTCAAAATCTGAATGAATATTGAAATCATTTCATGTGTTTGGATAACTAAAGAAAAAAGAATTTGAAATCCTAGATTATTTGAAATTCATTTTTTGGTTCAAATATTTTCTATTCCAAATAGGTCGGATTTACGAGGATTTTAAGTTTAAACTTAGCAAATTCCGATTTTGCCCTACTTTGGTGGAAAAAGAATACGTATCACTCCAATCTCATTTGCACATCATCATCAACCAAATTCGTTTCAAATTTTGATTTGTCCTATTTTTTTAATTTCTAATAACTATAAAGTGACTATCCTTATACATTTTTTCATCACCATTCAAACAAACTAAGGTTTATTTTCTATTTTATTTTTTGTGTATTTAATATTCTTCATATTCCAATATTGTTTAGATGTTTATGTTTATGTTCTTTTTTTTTTTTGGTATACTTTTTCTTCTTTTTAAGTTTTGAATCTAGAGTTGCTAAAAAAAACAAACAAACTGAATCAAGAGATTTACAAGTTTTTTTTTTTTTCAATTTAGTTCTTAAAATAAATGTGACATTGACAAGTTTTAACTTTTTTTAGGTTTATTTGATTAATTTTTTTTTTTAGTTTAGTTTTTAGAATAAATGTTTCCATGGTTGAAGTTACCAGTTTATATTAAATGTTATATTTTTAATAATATAATATTCTGCAAAATATTAAGGGCATAATAGTAAAATGTTATACTTTATTTTCATTTCTCGTGAACATCCAAACAATAAATTTTAATTTTAATGATTTAGAATCATTTTGGTTCCAAACGCAATTAGGAATTTGAAATCATTTCCGTCATTTAAAATCGTGGAATTTGAAATCATTTCCTACCAATTCCAGAGACCAAACGGAGCATAAATTCTTTGGGTGCAGGTCTTACATGAAAAAGTCAATACTTTGGATCGTAGGTATTTTTCCTTCTTTTTGGGTCTGTCGTATGATTTCTGCAGAGGAGCCTTGGAGGATCTTGACCATATCTTGTGGTCTTATCAGTTTGCACAAGATTTATGAGATTGATTTTTGGTATTTTATGGTGGCTTCGGCTCGTAACAAGGATTGTAGGGCGATGATGGAGGAGGTGTTGTTATCTCCCCATTTTCGAGACATGGAAAGATTTTTGTGGCATGCCTGTTTCTTTGGCTACTTTATGGAGCATTTTATTTGAGAGAAACAATAGATAAGGGTGGAGAGATCGAGGGAGTTCTAATGGGAAGTGCTTTTCATATCCTTTGTGGTTATCATATTCCTTGGCTTTTCATATCCTTTTGGGTTTGGTCCCTCACCCTTCTCCCATTGTTCTTTTTTCTATATTTTGAGCTCTCCTTCCCGTCTCCCTTCAACCCCTTTGTTTGCCTCTCTTTGGAATGTCAAAATTCCAAAAAAGATTAAATTCTTTGGGTGCAAGTCTTACAAGGGAAGGTCAATACTTTGGATCGTATTTAGAGGTGTTTTTCCTTCTTTTTGGGTCCGTCGTGTGTTCTCTACAGAGGAGCCTTGGAGTTGGAGGATCTTGACCATATCTTGTGGTCTTGTCAGTTTGTACAAGATTTATGAGATCAAATTTTGGGTATTTTGTGGTGGCTTCGGCTCGTAACAGGGATTGTAGGGCGATGGAGGAGGTGTTGTTATCTCCCCATTTTCGAGACATGGAAAGATTTTTGTGGCATGCCTGTTTCTTGGCTACTTTGTGGGGCATTTGGTTTGATACAAGCCATAAAATTTTTAGGGGTGGAGAGATCTTGGAGTTTTTATTGGAACTGGCTTTTCATATCCTTTGTGGTTATCCATGAAGAGTCACCTTCGTTTTAGTTTTTTATTGGATTTTGGAAGCTACAGCAGTCTTATTTCTTTGTGAGTGGATTCATTTCAAAAGGAAGGCTTTCCATGAAAAGTCACTTTGGATTCTGTAAATCATTGATATCCTTCTTTGGGGAACTTTCCATGAAAAGTTCATGTGTGCATGAAGAAGAGTGTGTGAGAGTCCTATTATGGATAGTTAAGGAATGATATTATTATTTGGGTTAAGGGCGTTATGGTAATTAGTTAGGGATGAGTTGTTATAAATAAGGGTAGTAGGGAGAGGAGAAGATCATCTTGGAGATTAGTATTTTGGTAAGGAACTTGAGAGAGTTCTTTGGGAGAGAGATAGCCCTCTCGAAAGGCTATCGGTATTGTAATTACTCTTTTGTGTTGCAACATAGTGTTCTTGTTAAGTTCTTGTATTCGGGTACCTAACAAATTGGTATCAGAGCAAGTTCGTCCTGGCTATGAATCTTTCATTCGAGACAGTTACGAGGATATGGAGATTATTGATAGGAATGGAGTTGTAGCAATTGTTGAGGGAAATGACGGAACGTTCAAATGAAATGGTTCAAATAACGAAAGAAATGCAAAAAGGTATTCACTGTTAGAGAGGAAAAAGAGAGATCAAGGAAGGAAGAAGCAACGGCGAAGAGCATTCGGAAGCAGGGACGAAGGATTGCGGGAAGCCAGCGATCAAACCCAAGAACATGGACCGGAGTTCGTTGGAAAATCAACCAAGGGGAGAAAAGGTCAGTCTGCAGAGATTCATCAAGAACAGAGGAGAAAAATTATCCTCAACCGAGTATGAGGAAGTTAAGAGGAAGAAGGCAGCCACCACATCTAATTGAATGCAACGGCCCAATAATATCTCCATGTTTTTTTTGAACAAGAAAGGAACTTTTCATTGATAAATGAAAAAGAACATAAAATGTTCAAAGATCTGTTCTTATCAGTTTAATATCTCCATGTTTAAACAGTTGAAATGATGGCCATTAGCTTTCTTTCATATGTAGACTTTGAGTCAAGAATCTATTTTGTCCTTGTTGGAAGGTGAGGGCTGTGGGTCATATCATTAGGCTCCTAAGATTGGGCCTAATTGGAGGGGGAAGTTGCACAATTCCATAAAAGGAAAACCGGTCCTCTGGCAACATGACTTGACCAGGAATGCAGGGATCTCTATGGAGTATCACCGTGGTGTATTGCAGGCAGGATTTCATCGTCATGGCCTTCCAATTCACTTCCTCTGAGCTTTGTAACCATGGCATGCCCAATATGACATCAGTGCTTGGTTTCAACAATAGAATCTTCTGTTATTGTCATTCCTTGCACCACCTATGCCACCCCTTGTCCATGATATCCCTGTAATATGTGTTTCCACCATCGAGACTTCCAACTTGCACGCCAGATCTAAAATAAAATTGAGGGTAGCTTTATTGTCCACCAACGTCAACAGTCCGTTCCCTTCAGTTTCCCATTTCATTTTCATTGTCCCTGGGGTGGTTGAACCCACCACCAAATCAAGTGATAGTTCAACCATTAACCCCAACACTGCCAGCTGGGAACACTGTCCTCTCTCATCTATAGGCTCCAATTCCTGGTCAAGCTCATTCTGTACTTCAGCTCACGACTGAGGCAATGGTGATCACTCAAAACTTCTCATTACAAAATACAATGGAACTCTTTTTTCCTACAACTTGACTTCAAGTAGATGCATCTAAAGCATTTATTTGTGGTAGATTGAAGTTTGTATTAAAGTACCATTGAACTCAAAAGCTTAAATTGATGGGTCATAGTAAATTTAATCATTTATTTATACTTTAACAGTCTGCTTCTCTATTGTTATAGTGTGGGTCAAAATCAATTCTTAACCCTTTTTGTCAAGCAGTCCTTGCACTTTGTGCTCTTGCATTGCAATGGTCTAGCGGAACTTTGCTTTCCTGGGCCTCTTGATCATGGACTTCAATTCATTGAGCATGTCCATAATTTGAGTTGACCCAATGGAGTATAAGAGTCGAACCTCTGCGCGTACGGTTAGATTCGACCCCATTGATGAACATACTCTCTAGTCAATGGACCCTCCAACTTACCACTCCCACTGATGGTTTCTCTATGTCCAATAGAACGCATGAATCACGAAATATCTTCTGCCATGGATATCCAGGAGCCAAGATTTTTGCCTGAGAAATGCTCTCCTATTAAAATTTTAAAAAATAATTTCCTCAGAAAATTGGCATCTACATGCTTGATACCTCTCCAATCCTATCCTCATGTCTGCCACCTTTTCTACTCATGTCATGCCAAAATCTTGGGATTTCTCCACCAAATTTCTCTGCTCCTTAGTTTTTATTCTATTCCTCCTCTTAACTCAATCCTGATTGCCGTTTTGACAGACCTTTTAATACCACTTCATCCTCTATGATGTAGGGAGTCTATTATAAATTCTCCCTCTTAATAAACTAGTAGTTGAAGGCTTTAGTTAGTCATGGCTGCCAGCTAAGTTTATGGAAGTTGAAGCCTTTTATATGGTTAGTTGCCGTTAAAGGCTCATGGATGGTCAGTTAGTTAGATAGAAGTTAATCGTAGGTCTGTTAAGGCTTGAGTGGCTATAAAAGCCAGTGTATTGTATCCAAGAGAACTAATTGAAATACAAATTCTTATTCTTCTATTCATTTACAATACTCCGGTTCTCCTGACCTTTATTCTCAGGAGTTTTTTGTTCGATCAACAATATCTTTTGATTGACGTCAAGAGTTACCAACACTTGTACCACGTTCTGAGATAGCTAAGTGCTCCAATTTGCCCTCTATGCTGTTGGATGCTGCAATTCTTCCTGCATTGCCCATCTCCTCCACTAGTGCATCCATCCAGTCCCTCATTTCAACTTTCTTCTGTGCCATGGTTTGATTGTTACACCGCTCTAATACCAAGATGATAGGTATTGTAGTCTTTGGTTAACCATAGGAAGATGAGTAATCGTGGAAATGTAAAGTCTATCTACTCTTTCCACCCTATTGCAGAAAAGGTTGTTTTAACATTTCAAGATTTTCTACTTTTAGCCTAGCCGTTCCCCTAATACAATTTTCTATTCTCGCCCCAAACTATCTTTCCTTTCAAAGGACTCTCGGTTCCCTTCTCTCATAACTCAAAATTAGCAGGGTCGAAGGCCTTTTTTCAAAATTTTCTGTGAATTGGTATGCATTTTTAACGGTTCCTTTTTATACATGGACTTCTGGTTTTATGTAATACGATTTACATTTCCCTTTCCCCCCCTTGTTTTCATAGTAATTTTGACTTTTTGAGGTATGGTTGAGGTCTTCAATTAATCTTTTTCCCAATTGTTTGAAGGAATTGTCTTCAAGAAAATCAAACATCCAGCAAGATATAGTTTCCTCAAAGCAAAGAATTTCTTTCATTGACAAGAGAGTTCCTGAGCTGGAAGCGGAAAAGAAAGTTGTTGCTGCTGGTAGAAATTTTAAAGAAGCTGCACGAGTTGCTGCTGAGGCAAAGTCTCTGAGCAATGAGAAAGATAGCATCTGTATTGACATTGACAGAGCTTTATTAGAGCTGGAGAAGCTCGAGGAAGAGACTAGAGGCACCATGAAATGGTTGCAGAAGACTGAGGAGTTGATTCAATTGAAGGAAAAAGAAGTAGCGAAAGCTAGATTCCAGAGGTTGCTTATAATAGCTGGTGCTGCAGCAGCAGATGGAGCTGCTGCTCTAGAGTTGGGCGACACAGGAGAAGCTAACCTTCTATTTGTAGAGAGTGAATCAGCACGTTGTGAAGCCAGAAAACTTCAGCCAGTCTATGATTTCCATGAGGACGAGTTTTCAAATATCCCCAAACACTTCATCTCATTGGAACTTGTTTTTAATCTAGGGCGTGAGAAATTAGCAGACCTGGTAGCATCTATTCATGATCCTACATTGGACGATTAAAAGGAAATTTTGCTTTCGATAATGTGTAATTTTAGTGTTTGTCATTCAATGAAGGAAGAGTATCTGATCAATGCTGCAGATAGGAGTTTGAGGTACTTAAACGAGCTGACTCTCAGATCACTTATCTACTCTCTTCAGCGTCAAGATTTGCTCAAACTCTTGTATCAAGACAATATGCTGTCGTCTTGCTGTTATAATGCAGACGTCTGTCGCTTTGGATTGCCATCTTTCCTTGTTGGTTCCTTTTGAATTTTGACAGACAAATGAGCCTCATCAGCAAGGAAGAATTTGGTGGTGGCATTCCTGATCATTTCCGCTCAAAGATGAGATTTCATAATGCGTCAGAAAAAGGTAGCTGGCATAACCCGTCGCAGTAATTATGTTCTTTGCCTAGAGAAAGCTCTCTGTGCCCTACGAAGGACGACGAAAGTGATCTGAATTCTGCTGGCCTTTTCTCTTTCGAGGTATTGCATGACATACATGTGTTGAATGTATTTCTTTTTGGTCTTTTTCATCTTTTTGCCTTTTTGCGCTGAATATTCATATAAAGTCATGGCAGGTTCTCGGTCTTTGATAAAAAGGGACCATTTCGACCGTACTTGACATGAATTTTACCAAGTCTTAGGATCCTGAAAATCTTGTTGATAGGTATGGATTGCGCTTGGCCATTGAGTTAGATTGACAGAACCAAAAATAAACTATTGAAAATTTGAAACCTTGTTCCATTAAAGGAAAAATCTTCTGACCTTTTGTGCCCTTCTCACTGTTTATAAAAAATAAATAAATAATCTTTAATAAGCCTCATTTTCATCTGATTAATCATTATCCATACTGCTAAAAGGATGGAAAAGAAAAGATTACCATGATTACAATTGATGAATATGAAGGTTTATTAGTGCTTGCAATGATTATTAGGGGAAATTTCAGAAATAATGTATTTTAAAGAGGAAATTCAATAAGTACGGTAGACGAAACTATTGACAAAGTAGGGTTGTTTTTGTCCGTTCAAAACTCGTATACATGTTATGCTAGTTTTAAGTACTCATATACATCACACGAGTCCAAATGGTACAAATAAATTGTGTAGATTTAATTCTAGTTAAAGATTTAAGGTTTGAAAACACATTTGGTCTCTATAGTAACGATTTAGTCATATGTAATAATCTAGTCTAATAGTAACGATTTAGTCATATGTAATAATTTAGTCTCTACCATTAATTTATGTTAGGATATAGAAGATTCAATAAGAGTTATCAAATAAATATCGATCTAAACAATTAGAATTGCTTATTAAATGTAAGGCCACGTGAATAATTAATACACATAATCTGCGTTCCAAATGAACGTTAGACCACAAAATGTTTCACAATTAAGCCATAACATAAATTCATTCCTTCCATTACCAAAACTGGCACATGGAGAGCAAATGCATATTTTTTATTAGCAAATCAATTCAAAACAATTAAATAATTTGGTAACTTTAAACTGAATTTTTTCTATTTTATAAAATAAAATATCAAGTTTTTTTTTTATACAGAAAACAATTCACCACTTACCCTTTTTTACCAAATATCAGATATTATACAAAACTATATATTTAAAAAATTCAAACTAAAAAATTCTGCAAAGATTTTTGGGACTGCTCTCCAAAATCTTTGGTCCAGCCGTATAACAAANAGATTTTAAAACAAACCCAACAAAACTTTTTAAAAAGATATATCTTTCTTTGAAAAACTAAAAACAAATTATCTTCTAAAATATTAAAATAAAATGACTTCTAAAACAAAGGTTTATCTTTAAAAAAATCAAATAAAACAATATATAAATATTGTTTTTAGACAACGTCTTCTCTCAAATGATTTTTAGTGATTTCTTATCTTCAAATTCAATTACCTTTTGTTGAAATAATAAAAAAATCAAAAACCATAACCTAAAAAATCTTTATTTTACTCATTTACAAATTTTTTAATCTTCTCTTTTTATTATTTCATTAATTGCCCAACATCATTCTCATCTTTATCATCAGATTCTAGTATACATTTTGTGTTTTTTCCAAATTTCAAAATTTAACTTTTATTTGTTGCAATTACTTTGAAAATAACAACTACATAATCTTTAGTTTATTTAATTTTGATTTTGTAAATTGATTTTTCTACCATGATGCTGCATGTTTTTTGCTACTACTTGTTGAAAAAAATCCTAAAATCGTGCATTTGTATAAGTATTTTGTTTCACGGATACATTTGACCAAAATAAATTCTAAGATTGTTAAGGAAAAAAAAATGTTAGTTGCCTATTTTTATAATAACCATTTTTTAAAGGGTAACTAAAGGGGCAGCTATATTAAATAGTTTGATTTGAAAAATGGTCAAAATAATCAAATATAAATGCGGTCAGATTTGAATTAGATAATTTTATGTGGACAAATATACCCTCCAATCAAAATAGGTAAAATTATCCTGTCATTACCGGTATAAATTTGTGGCGAAAATATTCTTGAAACAAATACACCTAGGAAACAAAATAGTGAATCAAAATTATAAAGTTCAAAAATTTTAAATAACCTCTAGATTTAGAAATTTCGAAATTTATAAGATAAAATCTTTTAAATGCATACTTTCAAATAAAAAAAATTAAGAAGGAATCAAAATGTAAAATGGACTAACAAAAACATAAAATCAATTTAGAAAACTGGAAAATGAATAAAAAAATAAGATTGAAAAATCAAATACTGTTTTTAAAACTATGGAAGGGGTAACTACATTGAGAGACACAATAATTAATACCAAACTCACGAACCGTCTCCTTCTCCCAAAAAATGTAATCGATAAAAAAATAACCTACAAAATAGGTTACAAATAAAGGTTAGGACAAACTAGAAACGTGGTGAAGCATCTGGATAAGGATGAAGCTAAGGTATTTTCTTATTCATACATTGTATATAATAATACTTACGTGATATTGAAAGTAGTTTACTTACACTATAATGAGCGATTTGCTTGCATCATTTCATTACTTAGTTTTTACCATGGTTAAGAATAATAATTTCTATCTAATATAGGGTAAATACGTGTATAGACAGAATAAAAACATAATAAGTAAAGAGATGTATAGAAAGAATAAAGAGGAGACAAAGGGTAAGTAAATAGGCGTATAGGCAGAATAAAGACAGAATAAGTAAAGAATCATATAAATATAATAAAGACAAATTAAGTAAAGAGACGTATAAATAGAATAAATACAGAGTAAATAAAGATACACACAGTACCTGGCTGCAAAAGACATGATGAGATCATATGACTGCTCATTATGGCTACAATGTTTTGTGGGGAAGAAACTCATTTTCCTTTCCAATCATCTTCTCTATCTTCTACTACTTTCTCCCAACTCTCAATAATTATATTACCTTAAATATCGAGTCCTCCAACGTTTGCTTCTAATTTTTGCAAATTAGGATTCTAATGCATAATTTAAAATGGGGATCAAATGACACAATTCGCACAGCCAAAGAATCAAGCTGGGGCAGAGCTTCATTCCCAACGAATGTGACAACAAACGGTTTGGATGACATATTTTGTGGCAGAAAACTATCCAGGAGAAGAAAAAATCTTTTTTTTTATAACAAGAAAAAATTATTTAGTTCTTCTATTGTTGAATTAAATTCTTCTTATAATCTGAATGCTTACTAGATGAATTTCGATCATGGAATTGGAGACTCAAACTTTACAAGCATTCTCTGTTCGATTTGTTGGTCCATTGTTGGGTTGATAAAAAATAAGGATTGATGAAACTTTTGTAAGAATATTTAGGAGACACCGTATTTAAGATGGTGATTGCAATAGAATTTACTGTCCAATTAATTAGGTTTGCTATAAATTTTAATTAGATTATGTTGGAGAAAATTAATAATCTTTTTAAAAAGTTTAATGATATAGGTAGATTGGTGTTTTTTAATGTAGATTTGGTAGCTTTCGAGATCTTGCTGGTTTGGTTATAGAGAGAATTTAGGTATTTTACGGTTTGATAATGTGATTTTCTGGAATATGGGCGGCTGAAAAGTAGATGGGTAAAATTGAGAAATGAAGCAAAGACAATATGAACATGAAATCCAAGTATGACCATATATGTAATTTACGAAAATTTTAGACTATTTTTATTACAATATGTTGTACGTTGTCATTACTCATGATTTCCCTTTTTTTTAAAACCTGCTATTTATTTGGTTGATTATTGGCATTTCCCCAAGATAGTTCTTCCCATCTCCTCTTTGAGATAGTGGTTGTGGCCCATGGGCTCCATAAATGGGCCGTGTTTTGAATTCAATGTGGCTCGTACGGTAGTACTCAAATCTTTGGGTCCTTAATATTTCAAGGATGGTCGAAAAAGTGTCAAATGTCGACATTAATGTCGACGGAAAAACGATGTTTCTTCATCATAAAATTTTGAACCTATCGATATTTTGAAATATAGAACAATTTTTCATTCTTTTCTTCGATATTTAACACATTTCTCCTGCGAGTGAATATAAGATTTCCGTCGACACAATTTTGACTACTTCAATTGTATCAACCACAAGAAATAAAAATGTAATATTGAAATGGACAAGTTAGAAATCATGCAAATCATTGATATTTAGAGGATATATTGAAAAAATGTCGGTTCACGAAATGTTGATGTGTCCTCGACATTTGAGAAAAAATAATGTTTCCTCTATTTCAAGCCTACCAATATAATTCCAAAATATTGAGCGACATTTCGGTCTTTCCCTTGATACTTAATACATTGGTGTTAGTGAATAAGATTTTTGTAGACACACAATTTTGACTACTTCAACTGTAGCAACAACAAGAAGTAAAAATGTAGCCTCGAAATCAACGGACGAGTTAGAAATCATGTATTACTTCTTGAATGGAAAGTGTCAATTTCTTGTTTTTTCTAATTGGTTTGGAAAAAACTGAGGGAGAAGGGAGGGGAGAGAAGAAAATAATTGCAAGAAAAAGGAGAGCGAGAAGAATTAGTAATTTGAGAAAAGATAGAGTACCTGCNCATTTAAAAAAAAAAAAAACGAGTATTTAAAAAGTTGGATAAACAGTCTAACGAACCAGCCGGCCATCATGGATAAGCACGGGGCCGATTAAGACGACAACGTTGTAAGGAAATAATTATAATTTAAACAAAAGAAACTATAGGTATTCTCATATTTTAAATTTTGAAAAGTTATTTTGCAAAATGAGGAAGGGAAGTTTATTTGGTAGACCAGTAAAATGAAAAACAGAAAAAGTATGGTATGGTATGATAATGATTTTTGTTTTTGATTTTTTATTCTTCTTTTTCTGTTTTCTGTTTTTTGTTTTTAAAAATATAAAAACCATATATATTATAATAACCATATTTTGTTTTTTATTTTTAAAAAACAAAAACCAAAACAATAACCATTTTTTATTTTCTACCTTTAAAAGATTAGAGTTGAAGAGATAGGCTAGAGAGAAAAAAATCTATGTAGAGAAGATATGAAAGTGGGTTAAAATGTGGGTCGGGATGTCGTCCCCTCGTTTTTTTTTAGAAATTTTTAGTTTCTGTCTTCACCTATTCTCTGATATCAGGAATAGAGGTCCAATAGAGGAATCCTCGTCCAGAGACAAAGATTTTTGAGGAAAAATTACTGATTTAATAATTAATTTCAATTGTTTTTAGAATTAAAAAAATAAGAAGTAATAAATTATATGAAAATTATATCTATTTACTGAAAAAATATTATTTACCAATATAATAATTAGTTTTAAGAAAAATTTAATATTTCCAAAAAAAAAAAAGAAACATTTAATATTTTATTCACAATTTAGTATTATAGGTAATTAAAAAATATATTTATTGGTTAAAAAATGGAATCGGAGAAGGGATCAGGGTATGATGGAAAATACATTCCCTGTTCTTGGAGTTGGTACCCAACCTTGAAGAGATTTTTTTCATCTCTAAGGGATAGACATGAAAATTTAAAAGTTTTACCAAATACACATGAGACAGATGAGACATTATTATGAACCTAAAGCTGGATAGTTTGATGGTTAATCTTCAAAAAAAAAAAAAAATTAGGAAAGGTAATTTCAATCTTTTAAAATATAATAATTTGATTTAGTTAATCTCTTTTAAAGGAGAGATGAAAAACGGAACTAAATTAAAAATTGAGAAAAATGGCGCAAAAGAAAGGTAAAATTGAAATAGAGGGAAAATAAAATGAAAAAGCAAAAGGGCATCTTTTCTCAGGTACGCTCACTTCATAGTTCACTGTGTTATGCCTCTTTATCTTTCTCGCTTTTGTCTTTCCTTGTCCTTTCGATTAATATTTTATCTCTTTTCTATTAAAATTAAAGTATATTGGATCGTCTTTCTCTTTCTCTTTATCAGTCGCTCTTTTCCGCGTTGCGAGAGCAAATCTAAATGCTGTCAGATTGTGCACTGTGAATTGAGAAATATCAGGGTTGATATGGGTCTGACTCCCATTAGTCGTTAAATTGACGAAGTTGACGGTAATGGACCTCCTTCCTCTCCTCTTTACGTTCAAGCTGAAACAATAGAGATAGATATGTACCTTTTTCTGTTTAAACTTCCTCATTTCACTAACTAACGTAATTCCGCATAATTAATTATACTTATGCCCGTCAGGAGGAGGAGGAGCAGCAGCAGCAGCAGGAAGAGGAGGAGGAGGAGGAGGGCCAAGAGTCTTGTAGGAAGGTGCAGCTCAGGACACTAAAATATAAATTAACTTAGTCGAGCTACTAGTTACGGATGGGGTCCGAGCAGAACAGATTCCCTCAGCAGGAACGGGTATGCATCTCTTCCCTCACTGATCATTCTGCTAATATGAAATTTATTGCTCCGGAATATGATGGTTTTTGCTCATTGTTTCTTGTAGCGGTAGATCTAGTGTGCTCTAGGCACCATTTTGCTTGCTTAGGCTTAGGATTTACTTTGTAGGCATTCTTTTCTCTGCCTGTTCTTCCCTAGATCTGGGGTTGCTTTCTTCGCCACCCTTATATTTGCTAGCAAATTTGTTCAATCCATTCTTCTTATCCCGAGTTAATTTACTGATGCGGATCCCATGTACGTGATGGTTTTTTAGCCAGTCCTCCGACGGGTCTACCGCTTTGATTGATGGGCATCGCCTTCTCGTCCTGATCTGATTTATGATCAATCCACCTTATGCTAATTATTACTTAATTTCAGTTTCACTTCTGGTTCCCTTCCGTTAATCTTAGTGTGAACTTACTCTGTCTGTAACTAATGAACGCTTGTGATATACTTAAACCCTTCAAGGCGAGATGCATCTGACTTAGCTGGGAGTGAGGTGTGCAGTCGTTGGTTTCCTTTGCTATTAGATAATTTTTAATTTCACATTGTTTGCTTCCTCTAAGCATCTTTTTCTATTGGAACTGGTATTCAAGAAGAATGAGCGTCATTCTCTGTGAAGTAGCTAATTCATCAATGTTCTGCATACAAATTCAACAAGCATAGACATCCTAATAATTTTTTTAGCGTCACAGTTAATCAAGTTTCTACATACAAATCTTTATGAGACATACAAAGAAGTTTTAAGAAAATATTTCACATTAAACAAGTTTCATGGTTATGTTCTTGCTAGTAGGAACCTGAATTAGGTGGTCAGTTTTACTTATCTCCAAACAATTACTCATTACTTACCTTTCTCAAAAAAGATAGTTGAGTTTAAAGTTTGCCAATTTTTTACAGCTTGGGAACAATTTTTACGGCATAACGGTGGCTCCAACTCATTTTAAGGATCATCCAAAAATATTGCTGAATGAGACTAAACTTCCAAGAAACTCTAGTATATTTCCGTAGCTACTTTTCCATGTACACTCAATCAATTAGATACCAAATTTAATCTATTATTCGTCTTTCTACTATTAATGCCTTTTAAAATAAAATAATGATATTGAAAGGAGAGGAGATTTTGTAGTCCAAATGAAGTTATGACTATAGCAACCAGATACTCAGTCTGCCAAAATATCAAGACAGAAAAGAATGAGCTACTGGAATTTGATATGAAGCGTGTTAACACAGATTGATAACATATCATTATTATATTCTAAGTGTAAATACTTTTCTTTTTCAAAAAATTGAACAATCGGATGATTTGTATCCTAAAATGCAGGTTTAATGAGATGACTATTTTCCATGGCATCCAATATCAGCAGAATCCCTTTCTCTTAATTATAGGTCAAGAATGATGAAGTGATTCAACCCCAAGGATTGGATGGAGTGAAAAAGGCCTTAGATCCAATTAAGATGCCACAAATTTAGAACCTTCTATGAACGCCTACGTCTGATATTATGAATTTGTTTCCTTTTTCCCATCTATTTAGAAAGAAGGGAGAATTCCAAAACTTTCGTGATTGAAAAACTCTTACAGGAAACTGTTTAAAGATTTATTACTTAAAACATGTGCGGTCTTGACGACCTTACTTGAACAGGATATGTTCTATAGGTTGTACAAATGTGTCCTTGAGTTCTAAAGAAAACATGTGCGTTTTTTGGTTTCTTAAAAAATTAAATTTGTTACTTGATTTTAAGAAGATAGGAAATGATCATAGTCGACATCATCATCAAAGCTGCCATCATGGCGATGTTCCAGGATTTTTTCAAAAATGGAATCATAAATGCAAGCCTTAATGGCCCTGAAGGTGCAACCCAGTTGGCAAGGACTTGAGGTCTCTTGGTTATGCTGGCTTAGAGGTCTCAAGTTCGAACCTTCCAATAAACTTAATACCAAAAACCCTCGATGTCTCTTGAGTCCAGGTCTTGGGATTGGTGCGGGTGTCCCTGGGTATAGGGGAGCAAGGCTTTGACGCCTAAAAAAAATAAAAATAAAAAGTGAGCTTGAATGAAACCTATATCTGTCTCATCCTCAAAAAGAGAGATGCCAAAATAGTACACGACTTCTGACCTATCAGTCTTATTCCTTATGCCTACAAGATTTTAGCAAGGGTGCTCTCTGAGAGACTAGAAAAGGTCCTTCGTCACACTATCATTGACTTCCAATAAGCCTTTGTGGAAGGAAAACAAATCCTTCATGCATCGCTCATTGCAAATGAGATTATTGATGAATGGAAAGAGAGGAAAATTGAAGGAGTAGTGTTAAATCTAGACATAGAGAAAGCTTTTGACATGGTGTAATAGGTAGATGTTGTTCTTTATCACAAGGGTTTTGGAACAACAATGAACTGTGCTTAGACGCTTCGTAAAACTGCACCACATGGAGGAAATGGATCAAGCTTGTATCTCAACATCAAGCTTTTCTATCATTATAAATGGGAAATCGAGGGGCAAATGCTCTTCCACTAGAGAAATCAGACAAGGAGACTCCTTATCTGGCTATGCATCTAGATGTAGCTCCATCAAGGTAAATCATTTACTATTTGCTTATGGCACCCTATTTTTCTCTAACAAGGACCCTTGTTGCATAAAAAATCTCCTCATAATCATCAAAGTGTTTGAGATGGCTTTGGGTTTCAACATCAACTACAACAAATCTGAAATTTTAGGCATTCTACTGGACTCACAGAACTTGGAAGCCATCGCCAAGGCTTGACGATATAAAATGGGCTATTGGCCATCAACTTATTTGGGGATTCCACTAAATGGCAACTCAAGGAAAGAAGCTTTCTGGCTTCCCATAATAGAAAGATTGAAGAATGGACTTAGCAAATGGAACAACCTCTACATCTCTAAAGGTGAAAACTCACCATTCAGTCCTCACAAACCTCCTTACATACTATTTATCCTTCTTTCATCTAACAAGGAAGGCAACTAAAACTATATATATATTTAAAAACTTTAATAGATAGTTGGCAACTGGCAGAGGGGTAGAATTTAAGTTTCCAGAGGTCTGAGACAAGGAAATTTGCTCTGTCCGATCCTGTTAGTTATTGATGTTCTTCGAAGAGTTTTAAGGGGGTGGATTCTGGTTGCTTTGCAGTTTGAATATGGGTAAGAATTGGGTGAACCATTTCAATTTGCTAATGAAGTCCTTGTATTTTGCACTAATATTAATGAGTTGGAGAATCCTTTTCGTAGCCTTGACTCTTTAGAGGAAAGCCTCTGATTTGAAGATTAACAAAGATAAAAGTATATTTCAGGAATTAATGTGGAGTACGACAAAGTTCAAGAATAGGATTTGGGTGGTACTGCCAATGTTTTAAAAGGCTAAAGGCGGCCTCGAGGCTTTTTCTCTTGAAAAGGCGAGGCGTAAGCCTCGAGGCAGTATGAGGCGTAAGCGTCAATTTCAATTAAAAGAATTAAACAAATCTTAAATTTGTGTGGTCAAGTATTACCAAACATAATAGTTATATAAAATTATCAAAATATCCACTTGTTACTTGTCACTCAAAAAAATTTCTAAAAAAACATCATAACATCACTACTATTATCACCAATAGAACTTACTTATTCTATAAATTGTTGTCTTCAATATTTTTAAAGTCTAGGTAGTAAAAGTAGTAATAGATTGAATTGTCACAACTCCTGCTTAGGATTCCATACAAAAAAAACCTTGATATTTTTTAAGAATTGGAAAAATTAATAGTATTCTTGTAATCATTACACGAGGCGTATACTTTAAGTCTCAGTGCGTTTTCAAAGAGGCGTAAGCCTCTTCTATGCGAGGCGCAAGCCTCTTATAGTCCAAAGAAGGCGTAAGACTTAAGGCTAAAAGTTAGAGCCTTGCCTCGAGGCGGGCCGCAAGGCGTAAGCCTCAAAAGCCTTTTAAAACATTGGGTACTGCTAGTAATTGGCCGTTAACTTACCTTGGGGTGCCTCTTATAGGTAATGAAAGAAGAAGAGAAATATAAAAATTAAAAAATTAAACCAAAAAAAACCTTAGAATAAGCTCAACAAGAGCAATACAAACACAAAAAAAAGATAAATGACATTTAAAACCCAGCGACGCTGACAATGCTGCAGAAACTCTGCAAACTGCACGCTACAACGCTTGGAGAACCATAAGAACTTCAAGAGAAGATTCCACAAACACGACTTAGAGTCCTGACTTGAAGAATGCTTGAGGGATAAAACAAATATTTCCCTAGAAACAAAACCAAGAACATACTCCAAAAAGAACCAAGCAGAAATCGGCCACTCTTGGAAGAAACCAACGAAAACCAATCTACATTGACGATCATATATATGGGATAAACAAGCTCTTTAGTTGGCTCCACAACTTCTAAAACAATCAAAATGCCGAACTTTTAACCGTTGAAGAGGCCGAAGAAACAATGGCCTGAACGTCTATTCCTCCAGAAACAGGCTCGAACAAACAAGAAGAAAGTCTGAACCCAAAACCTTTCAACAAAAGATCTAAGGCAAAAGGAAGAACGTCCAGCCTCTGGAGACAGAAAAAGCAAAGCAAAACAGGGAGAATTTAAAAAACCTTACATCATGCCACCTTCAAAACTTCCTTGAAAAACCACCTGTCACATAACCTTTCACCTTCGTCCCTTCCTAGATGGGATATCTGCCACACATAGCTTCACCTTTGACCCCTCCATGGAAATCTTGATCTTTAGAAGTTTCTTGATAACCCCTAAGAAAGATTTTCGTGAAGAAGATTGAAAGGGAACAAGAAAAATTCCTGCCCCTTTGAAATAAGGGGGAATTGACTGCTCAACATCTTCCTTACCCGAAAATTTACCCTCAGGAGACAACCATCAATCTTCCCTTGGTCTTGAACAGAAGGGAGGTCAACCATTTATTTGTCCAAATTGAAGAGATTATTAAAATGTTCTGCAAAGGAATGATTCGAAAGGTCTTCA